CTACCATAGAGGTATGGAGAGCTCGGACCTGAAACCAGAAATTTAAATTCTGGCTTCTTAAAAGGCTGCGGGTGGGCGATAGAGGGGAAAGGAAATTCTTTCATTCCTTCTTGAAGTGTCTTCCTGGGAAACATGGCAGGGATGTCTGTCTGTCTGTCTATCTATCTATCTATCTATCTATCTATCTATCTATCTATCTATCTATCTATCTATCTATCTATCTATCATCTATCTATCTATCTGTCTGTCTGTCTATCTATCTATCTGTCTGTCTGTCTATCTATCTATCTATCTATCTATCTATCTATCTATCTATCTATCTATCTATCTATCAATCTATCAATCATCTATTTTATCAATCAGTCCCTCAACCTACCTACCTATCTTCTATCTATTTATCTATCTCTAATTTCAAAGAGGATCACTTCAGAATCTCTGGCCCTTTTGTTGTTTTATTAGAAATGCCATTTTCCATTAAATTTTGGTCTTCTTGTGCTTTGCAAGTCTTAGAAGTTTAGGAAATATCTGACTCTAAATGCTTACTTCACAACTTTGGATAAATTTAATTTACACATACTTGATGATTTCTGGCCCTATCCCAACATTGTAAAGGAAGTGTAATTCCCAGATAGGAGCAGCAATGCACAAGGGTTTCTGTGTTACAACAAAACAATTATACTCAACAAATTGATTTGTACACTTTGGTTTGTTGTAAAAAAATTAGTTTAATTCTGCTCAACACCCAGTCATTTTATTAACCTAATGTTAACTTCATAATGTCTTCTTGTTTCATGCAGGCATTCTTACACCGAATGAACCAGTGTGCAGCATCAAAAGTTGACAAAAATGTGACAGAAGAAACAGTGAAGGTGAGGAGGTACAATTGGCCCTCAACCTGAGCATGAGTTTCCTACATATAAATTTTGCTGGTGCCATGGTACTTCACGGTACTTCACAGCCCTTCAGTTGATCGACAGTTCCACTACAAGTTGCTGTGCCCGTCAGTTGTATTGGTAATAATTTTAAAAAGAGAAACAGGGCTTAGGAAAAGAGATGGGAGATTAAGAGGAGGACAGAAAAGTCATAGAGTTTTTTTTGTTTGTTTGTTTATTTTTTACCAAGGCCTTGGGAACATTTGAACAGAGGAAGAAAAATAAATTGGAGGTGGCCAGGTGTGGTGGCTTACACCTGTAATCCCAGCACTTCGGGAGGCCAAGGTGGGAGGATCACACGAGGTCAGGAGTTCAAAACCAGCCTGACCAACATGGAGAAACCCTGTCTCTACTAAAAATACAAAATTAGCCAGCCGTGGTGGCGCATGCCTGTCATCCTAGCTACTCTGGAGGTTGAGGCAGGAGAATCGCTTGAACCCAGGAGGCGGAGGTGGTGATGAGCTGAGATTGTGCCATTGCATTCCAGCCTGGGCAACAAGAGCGAGACTCTGTCTCTAAATAAATAAATAAATAGGAGGCTAAGAACCTCAATGTCTTTGAGAAGGAGGGAACTGAGCCATATAAGAGGATTGTTAGAGGTGGCTCAGGAAGGCAGGGTGTGGGCAAACATGACTTCCAGTCTCTGTGATCACTGAAGAACAAAAGATTTCAATGGTTCACTCCACATAATATCCTTAATTCAGAAACAGATGTATAATCGTTTCTTTTAAACTGCAAGGAAGGAAAATTGTGAACAGTTTTGAAAAAAAAAAAAAGATGGTGAATGAAAATTAATTATACTATAATGATTATTCATTTAAATTTTTATGTACTATTCCTGATATTTATGATGCTAACTTACTGTTTTATTTTGCTGGAAATACAGAACATTCTAAGGATTTTTAAAGGTTCTTCTGACTCTATTTCCCCATGAGTAAAATGCCTAACTTTTAACTTTTCCTCCCAGGAGAATATTTTAGTTAGCTTGCTTTTGATTGTAAGCTGGAGAAACCTCTTACTCAAATTGAATTGAAGACACTTTGGCTTACATATCAGGGACTCCAGACAGAGAAGGTTTAGCACCTGTGACCCAGAGAGGCCAGCAAGGTTGCTATATCCTCTCCAGCTAATCACTGCCACCCAGGTTATCAGCTTTGTGCTCAAGCTGGCTCTTCCTGTGGCTGCAGAATGACTCTGCAAGCTGTCCCAGGTTTTACTTCTACATGTGGCACCTTCCAGAGGGTAAAGAGGACTGTCCATTCTGGTGTGCCCTTCTTAGTAGCGTAGATGCCTTTCCCAGAAAAGCCTGCTGGCAACTCTGCTGGTTTCCCTACAGCCCAGCCTTGAGAAGGGAGTGGGATACCTGGCTTGGATTGGGCAACTGAGGCCTTGCCTTGAGAGCCAGCCATGGGCTCATGGTTCCCAGAGTTGTGTCAGTGGCGTGGAGGGGATGTCCAGACAAAATTGAGGCTCTGCTGGCAAGGTGGGAGGAAGGCATGGATGTGCAGTTTTCGGGTTGGAGACAGAATACTATGCTATCATAGACTTAAAAAAATTGCTTCACTACTGAGCTTACTTACACATTTGTGTATTTACAGATGTTGTTCTCAAACATTGAAGACATCCTTGCAGTACATAAAGAATTCTTAAAAGTCGTGGAAGAATGCTTACACCCCGAACCTAATGCTCAACAAGAAGTGGGAACCTGCTTTCTTCACTTTGTAGGATAAATTTCTGTTTATTTTTAAAGTTCTTTTCCCCTAGATTTTAAGATTTAGCTCTTGGCATAGTGGTATATGTGCATTCAGTATTAGAAGTAAAATCTGACACCAAAAGTTTGGGGTCTTTTAAGGCCAATGAAATCTTCCACTTAGAGCCAGAAAAGGGGAGAGTGCCTCACATCATCCATTTTACTGAAGAATAAACAGCCTTTTCTTTTCCCCGACAAGTTAGTTCTTCGCATCCTCTGTAGCTTTGAATTCTAATGAATATTCAGGCTGTTCATAATGAATGAATTTTTATGTTTCTCTCAAACATAGAGCATTTTTCTTTTGAGGCAGAAAATCCTCACTCCTATAATGGCATGATGAGCCTTTTATTAGTCAGAATGTTCCCTTGTTAATCAACTTGTGACAAACCTGGAGTTGAATAAACCCAGTAGCAGGAATTTTCCCCAAGGATGGTTTCTCAGAAGATTGTACTGAGCAGTGCAGACGCAATAACCAGCCGGCATTCAGTTGTTTCAAATTATACATCCTGTGCCTATATGATCATTTTCATCTCTTTATATGTAATGCCTGAAATTATTTATGCAATTAATTTGCAAAATAAAAAGACACCTGTGTAGTGAAAATTGTTTTCAAAATTAAAGGGCATTCACACCAAAAAAAAAAAAAAAAAGAGAGAGAGTGCTGATATTTATACCATTGCGTTGATGCTAATTTTGAGAATACCAGTATAAATCCATGTATTTATCAAAATGCTAGACAATTAATGTTTTGTTTAAAAATGTGTAAGAGTATTTAGTCATAGAAATCAAATTTTGTGTGTTTTTAATTTTCCATCTAGTCTTTTAGAAAGGTTTTGATAGTAGTTTCAAAATCTGTCTTTAGGTAGTGAGCAAGCTCTATCTTCTTTTTATAATCAAAAAATATGTCATAACAATAATTATATTAAAAGGAGAGGCTCATGGGGTATAGGAAGATCAAGCTGTGTTTTTCTTGGGCACAGCTGGAAGCCACGGGTGTTTGTGTCCACTCACTTAAGCCTGCTTTCTTTCACGAAAGAATCAAAAGAATCAGAATCTTCTGCCAGCTGGAGTAGTTGCTATCTCAGTCCGGGGCTGTGCCTGGGAATCTTGCACCCCTGACATCCATTTCCTTAGTAACACTTTATGAATCTGTCATCCCTGAATTTAGCTAAACTATTTCTGAAGTTTATTTTATTTTTCTGGCTCGTATCATTTCTTGAGATAAGTGATTCAATACATTTTCTGCTGGTTAGAGAAAGTAGCACTTAATGTCTCTAAATGCGTGCCTTTAAAATTTCAGTGGGCACGCTTTTGTTCTAATATTTGATCAATACATTTTTTGTGTCTTCCTTTTATTGGTACTCTTTTGATGATAAGGCACTTTGAGAAAATCCTACAAATAGAAGGGAGCTTAGAGATCATGATGGTACAAATCCTCTTATTTTAAAAGAATATCTCCTATTTATCTATGAAGGCTGTTTATTTTGTTCCTACTTTAGTGACAGCTCTGTTAGAAAATCTCCATGATGATCCAAAATCTGCCCATCACTGCCCTTGCAACATCCACCTAAAGGTCCTAGTTTTATATTTGGAGCTACATAGGACTGTCAGTCCTTTACAACATAACGCTGTTTGAAAGTGTTCATGATTTCCTGACTTTTCTATACCTACAAATATGACTCTCTGAAACAACCTCTCAGACGTGGTGTCTTCAGGGTCTGTCATTCTCTTAGTTGCTTATTGCTAGATATTCTTCAGGTTGTTACTCTCTTAAGCACAACTGTCTAGACTGGTGTATATGAACCACAGGGTCCTGTGTTTCTCTATTTCTATATGATCTGGCACTTGCTTTTGCCTTCACCTAAATGACTTTCTTCCCTCTCCCTGCCTAGGAATCATGGATTTATATACCTGGACCTTGCTCAGATTGATTGACCTTTCTTCTGCATATAGTCCTTATTCAGTTTTCATAAATAACAGCAAGAATATGTATGTAATTTCTTCCTCTTTTTAAGCTGTAACTGAATCCTCATGACAAAGCTCAGCCCTCTCTTTTCTGTGCTTTGCCACCCTTTGGTTCATTTGTCCACTTGAATTCCTCACGATAGAGTATAACTGATATATGTCTATCTCCCTTTTTAGGCTATTCTTCATGGGCCAGGGAAAATAAATAAAATTTATATATAGCTGTATACATGCAGTATAGCTCTTAAAACGTAGTAAGCACTCTGAAGCTTCTTTATGCATATCACATAGGTTAAAATTGTAGAATGCTGGATCAAATGACTAATTTATTTTTACATGAATTCACAGAAAGACAAGTTTCGTATCTATGATGAATATTGTAGTAACCATGAGAAAGCACAAAAATTACTTCTGGAACTCAACAAAATAAGAACAATCCGGACATTTCTTTTGGTAAGTGTATATTTATGTGTTACTGTATGTTGATATGTGTTATTAGGTCCAGTGAGAACCAAGGAATAGCATCAATATGGTGTAAAAATCTGTGGGATATCTCTGTTAGCATCCCCAGGTGAGGAAGCAAGAGTCCTTTGATAAAAATAAAAGTGAAAGCTGGGATCAGCTTGTGTTTGGGGAAGTACCACTAATGCCCCCTCGTGGTTGATAATGAATTATCTGTGAGACCCCACAGGTTCCTAGTGAGAGAGGCTTCTGCCAGAGTTCATCACTGCTTTATAGCCCCAGTTCCGTAGGGCGTCCTTTACTTCTGCTGAGAGAGCTGTAAGTAGGGCAGTAACAGGAAGGAAGCAAATCGTGGATATGGTAGAAAATAAGTGTAAAATTTAACCTTTCTCCTACATACATTTCTTATTTTGTTTTCATAAAAACAACAAAAATATGTGTTTAATTTCTTTAGCTTAGCACAAATAAATGCGTATTTTGACTGTCATGGGCAAACTAATCGCTAGTGAAGAGCAGAGTATAATTGTGCGATTCAGTGATATTGAGCAGAGTGTGGAGTTGTACAGCCATCCCCCAAATTCAGGTTTAGATCATTGTTGTCACCTCGGAAAGACCTCCATGTCCCTTTCCAGCCTATCTCTGTTCCCACCATTAGCACCAGGCACACACTGATTTGTTTTCATCCCTATAGATTGCCTTTTCTGGAGATTTTATATAAGTGGAATCATACAATGCAATCTTTTGTGCCTGACTTCTTTCACTTACTAAAATGTTTTCAAAGTTCATTCTTGCTATAGAATGTATCCATTTTCATTCATTTTAATTACAAAATACTGTTCTATTGTATGGATATGCTGTATTTTGTTTATCTGTTTGCCAGTTAATGAAAATTGGGTCTGGATCCAGTTTGGGCTCCTATAAATAATGCTGTTATGAGCATTTATGTTCAGGTATTTGAATGGACACAATGTTTTTATTCTTTTGGGTGACATTAAAAGTAGAATTGATGTCTGTGTTGTATGATAAGCTCATGTTTAACTAATTAAGAAACTGCCAAACTATTTGTCATTGTGACTGTGCCGTATTTACTGGCAATGCATGAGGATTCCAGTTTCTCTATATCTTTGCCAACACTTGGCATTTTCAGTTTTTCTGATTATAGCCGTGCTAGTGGGTGTGTAGTGCTATCTCATGGTGGTTTAAATTTGTATTTTGCCAGTGACTAATTACATTAAGCATGCTTTCATGTGCTTATTAACTCTTCATGTCTTGTTTAGTGAAATGTTTATTCAAATCTTTTACCCATTTAAAAATTGGGATGTTTGTTTTATATTGAGCTATAAATGTTTGTTATTTCAGAGCTAAGTCCTATGTCAGATATATGATATGCAAATATTTCCTCCAGTGTTGTCTGTTCGCTTTTAAAATATCATCTTTTTAAAATCAGGAGTTTTAAATTTTGATGAAGTCTAATTTATTACATTTTTTTTTCTGTTACGACCATGCTTTTGTTGTCATATGTGAGAAATCTGTATTCAGGTCTTGTACTTACTTTTTTTCCCTTCATTTTTCCCCTTTTGATGCTATTGTGATTGAAATTATCTTAATGTCATTTTAAAATTGTTCATTGCTAATATATAGAAATTTAATTGACTTTTGTTTATTGATCTTGTGTCCTGTGATTTAAATTTATGTATTTGTTAAGTAGTTCTTTTGTAGCTTGTTTAGGGTATTTTGCATATAGGATCAATTATCTGATACTAAAGATGATTTTACTCTTTCCTTTCCATTGTGGATGAATTATTTTTTTTTCTTGCCTTATTGCACTGGCTGGAACCTTCAGTATAGTGTTGAATAAAAGTGGTAAGAGCAGGTACCCCTGCCATATTTCTAATCTCAGTAGGAAAACATTTAGTCATTCTGCATTAAGTATGATGCTTGCTATTGATTTTTTTGGTAGATGCTCTTTCTTATGTTGGATAACCTTTATTATATTTCTAGTTCATATTATATGATGTGAATAATAATATTCATATATATTGACAATGCTATGAATTATATGCATTGACAATGCTATGAATTACTATTCATATTATTCATATTGTTTAATGATCCAATTATTGACAATGAGATATTGAAATCTCCATGTATAATTAAATTATCTATTTTACCCTTTAACTCTGTCCATTTTTGTTTGCTGTAGTTTGGGACTCTGTTAGATATGCACACATTCATAATTGTTATATTCATATTTCTATTTATCATCATGAGGTCTTCTTTGTCCCTGTGATATTTCTTCTGTTAAAGTCTATTTTTCCTAATAATAATATAACTGTGATAGCTCTCTTACTATCTTTATATGTTATATCGTTTTCTGTTATTTTACTTACAAGCCATTTAGGATCTTTAAAATGTCTCTGGCAGATGGCATATTGTTGGGTCTGCTTTTTATCCAGTCTGACAGTCTCTGGGGTCCTCAGTTTGTTTGTTTTTAATGTAATTATCAATATGATGGTATTTACATGTGCCATTTTATTATTTTTTCCTAGGTGTCTTTTTTGTTTGTTTCTTTGTTCCTCTTTTACCACCTACTTTTGTGTCAATCAAGCATTTTTTGTGTACCATTTTGATTCCTCTCAATTTTTAAACTGTATTATTAGGAGTTTTTTTGGTGATTGCTCTAGGAACTACAATATGCATCTTAACATATCAAATCCATGTTAGGTTAATACTGACCTAATTCCAGTTAAATATAGGGGAAATTTGGCTATAATATTCCCTGAGTAGAAATGGAAAATATTCCATTTCATCTCTCTTCTATTGTGCTATTATTGCCATATATATTATATATGTTATAAACTTCACGACACAGTGTTACAATTATTGCTTTCTATATTTTTCTGCAGTCTTTTATATTTATATAAATATTTACCATCTCTGGTGCTCTTATTTCTTCCTGTGTATTTGACTCTGATATTAGACTTTTCAGCCCTTAGTACTTCTTGTAAGTCATTTCTACTAGCAATGACTTTGCTCAGTCTTTTTTTTTTTTTTTGTTTAAATCCACGAATGTCTTTATTTTACCCTCATTTCTGAGGGATAATTTTACTTGGACATAGAACTTTTGGACTGATAGATTTTTTTCTCAGTCAGCGCTTTGAATATGTCATTCTACTACCTTATGGCTTCCATTGTTTCTGATGATAAGGCATCTGCTATAATTGTATAGTTGTTATACTTTATATGATGGGACATTTTTCTCTTTTTTGCTGCTCTCTAGATTTTCTCTTTGTGTTTTTCTTTCAGTAGTTCAATGATGTATTTAGATGTGGGGATGGTTGTACATTTCTTATTTATAGTTGAGCTTTTTGAATCTATAGATTAATTTTTCATCAAATCTGGGAAGTTTTTAGCCATTATTTTAGAAATATTTATCTGACCCTTTGTTTTCTTCTTTACTGACTCCAATTTACACACATGTTGGTAAGCTTAATGTTTCCTCTTGGTTCCTGATGCACTTTTCATTTTTCTACGATCTCCTGGGCTCAAGCGATCCTCTTACCTCAGCCTCCCAAAGTGCTGAGATTATAGGCGTGAGCCACTGTACCTGGTCAGGAAACATATTCTTTATGTATGTGTAAGGAGCTAGCTCTCCTAAGCCAGTCTAAAGTGGTAGCCAACCTGTGGGATTATGAATTGAGTTCACAATCTATACAGTACTAATACACAAGGCAATAAAAGTGGGCTAGACAACCCTGAGTGATTTTAGGGCACTTCAGTCCAGAGGTAGGTGAGGGGACGGCTGCTGTAATTTACGGGGATGCTAACATACTGGAACGGAAACATCACTGGAAATATAACGAGATGTAGATAGTTGTGTTTCATAGGATTCCTCTGGGGGAAAATACCAAATATAGTTTGAAAGAATATTTTGATAACCCGATTGCAGTAGGAAGTGAAACCCCCAAAGAGGATGCTTGTGTAAGAGCATGTGTTTGCTGCTATGTCATCTGTGGGGTCTGGGTGAAGTTACATTCATAGTGGTGATTTTGCTGACTTGGACCACAAATTGAGGCTGATATTCAGTTGCTCAGAACAGCAGAAAATTTTTCTACTACTGTCGGTCTTCCTTTTGCATCCTTTCCTGATCAACACTCAGCCTCTCCTCTCAATGAACCTGAAACAGTATTTTGAAAATTGTAGTATGAAAGTTGCTAACTTAGCTTGATATTTGAGGGGCTCTCTTCTCCCTCTGTTAGATATTTATTAAATAATTTGTCTGTTGTAGGCACTGCAGAAAGAAGGTTTGGGCAAGTTTCAAGTCTGTTTCATTGCACGTTGCTTATGAAGGTGAAGGTTTTATTTTTCAGAGTCAGTTTTCTCTTGACCACCACTTTATCATCAAAGAAAGCTGCTTCAGTATCACCCCACTCTGATTCCTGATTTTGAGATTTCTTCTTTCACCTTGCCTCTGCGGAGATCCTGTCTGACCTCCTTCTCTGACACTGGCTGCCCAGCGTCTTTGGTGCAGTGTAATAGCAAAAAATGACTCAGAGATCATTTGCTTAAAACCTGCCCTATTTATGGAGAGGAAAACTAGAATTCTGAAATCAGCCCAAGTTGTATCACTTGTCAGTTGCAGAGCCTGAGTTAGAACCTAACTGTCTTGATACTTGCCCTTCTACAACATAATATACCTTTCTTTATAAGCAAAATCAATCTATCTATTTATGTGTCAATCATCTGTTTATCCACCACTTATCCATCCATTCATCCATCCATTCATTCACCTCTCTCTCTCTTTCTCCACCTCTTTTTCCTCAGACTTCATACTCAGGGAAATATAAGTACATTAATTTTTAAGATACAGATTCACAACAGTTCTGCAACTAGTATTTCTCCTTGTCTCTCTGTGAGTGTTTGTGACTGAATATGCTTTTCTTAGAGAAAGAAAGTATATAAAGACATATACTTTCACTAGTTTTCAGCATTTTATGGTAGAAAAATGTTTTGCTGCCTGAGATTTTAAAAATGTAATTAATTATGATTATTTTCACCCCAGAACTGCATGCTGCTTGGAGGACGGAAGAACACAGATGTTCCCTTGGAAGGATATTTAGTAACACCAATACAAAGAATATGCAAGTACCCTCTCATTTTGAAGGTATTTTATGTGCTACCTCGTTGTAGCCATTTCCTTGTACCTACATATTTTGCTGATGATCTTTTTAAAAAATTATTTTGGCC